ACGCCAGCTTATCTTCTGTGTCTAGTGCGGTCAACTTTCTGGAAAATAATTGGGACCTCTTCCCCAGAAAACGCTAAATCTTTCTAGATGGCATGTGATCCATCCGACTCCGTGCTGATCATTTTGGAATGAACATCGCGTTAGCTCCGTGAACTTTCTGGACCATGGTCCTGTATACCTCTCACTGAGGCTGGTCCAAGTTTAAATTGATCAGCAAAGACGCGCATTCCGGAGCAGTCCTCACGGCAGAATTTTCGAATCGACGTTTGATTTTCAGGATTTCTGGCCCAGAAGTAGATGAGATCGGAGGTCTGCACACGGTGGTCACCGTGCTCTAGCGAAGCGTTCATAAACACCCCATCAACAAATCCCCTTCCATTGGTACTGACGACCTGCGCCGGTGGGCCCGGCGATATGTTAGGCCCATGCGCTGTGTTGAACGACTTCGGTCAGGACCACCGCAAAACATCCACTGGACCCGACGCGCTGGATCCCCATCGAGGTGGCTTTTGGTGCGTTAAGATCACCTACCGGTAAGAAATCCGCGAATTGGTGGCTGGAAGAGTTGATCGAGAGTTAGAGTCATCTTAGGGGACATATTTTAGAGCGCTCGACTGACAACTGTAGACCACTCCGAGAAGATAATCGGTCCCGCGCGTCGTGATTTAGATCCACATTTCATTGCGCAAAGCCAAAGGAGTGGTATCGGTGGGGACAATCGGGATGAGCAGGGCTGCACGTAAGTATAAAACAGCTCCACCATCCCGCCCGCTTTGAGTGAGCTCAAAAAATTTGGTCGCCGTCTGTCTATATCTCCGCGCGAGAGATACCTGGTGTGGGCCAGGTTGAACGGGTGTTAAAGGTTAGCGACTGTTTGACATCGCCAAGTTTGCTCAAAAGACTGAGGCAACTTGTGGACAAGCATGTAATCAATGTCTCTGCAAAACTGCGCAGTCGGAGGGTGTGCTGCCAAATAGGTTGGCGTATTTAATAGCTGTACGCCGGGTTTCAGTTTAGGGCCCCGAATCGGCCTCTTTGGCATATTTGTCTACCTACTGTCTCGGTGATTTCTAGAGTTGGCTTTCATTTGCAGGATTCTTTTTACCTCGTATCAGTCCGGTTTGCGCAGGCAGTTCATCTTTGAGGGACGTCGTTTTCCCACTCATGAACGAAAATTTTGACCATAGCTACTCGCAGCTCGTTGTGCACCACCTTTTGGAAGACTAAGTTTGTTGTTGTTCAAGGAATCTGCATAAACATGCATCTGGTCGGTTTCTCGAATATTTTGACTAGGTTTGCCCAACAAGGCGTGTCTTTGAAATCCTACACGTTGGGTGAAAACACCAGGAACTAGTCCTTTGGTCGGCGTTCCCGTTGAGCTCGTTTTTGCACAGGACTGCACCTTGAGCCTAGTCAGTAGCTTTCTGTTAAACAGCAGTCGCTTTTCGTGTTTGTGTGAACTCGCGAGTCGCCCGCGACCAGCATGGCCAACAGGGTGTACGAGTTTTTTAGGCTTGCTTGTTTCGGGTTTATCACTTTAACCATCGGGGTTATGGGCGTTGATTGTGTCCACAACCGGAGGGATCTTTTTGATGGAGTGGAGCTGGAGACGGTTTTATATTCTTGGTGGCTGTAGGGTATTCTCCGCATTCTCTAATGTCGAGGTGAACGCCTATTGTTGCGGTTGAATTTTTGGTAGGCTTCGCCGCTTGTCCCCTATCCAACTCAGGAGTCGTGAGTTGGGTGCGGAGTTCACTGATGTGCCTCCATCTGCTCCGACAAAAAGCGACGACAGCTCTGCGTACTTCGGAGGCTGCGTCCACGCGAGGCTTGCATCCGCCCCGGTATCGCCGCTTTTGGAAGTCGAGGTGTCTGCGGTGGTTGAGCAAAAACTGCAATCCAGAGTCCTGGCCAGATGTGTCGGCATGCTTCTAAGATCACAAGGGGCCATAACTACCATCGGTTCGACCATACGTTTCGGGTCAACTGAACTGCGGGAGTCGAAATCCTCTTTCGCACCTCTTCATTGTGGCGACTGTGATCCAGCTTTCACGTCTCTAGAGGATTACCCTTGGATATACACTTGATCGTTTTGTAACACTTTGGAGTACTAACAACTGTGTCCAAGAACTTCTGAAGCCAGATGGGAAGGAAAGGTAACTGGAAGCCCAAATGCCAGCCTAGCCACTCAGTGTGAAGCACACTAGTGTTCACTTTTGTTAACAAAAAAATCACTTGATAAATTAGAAATCAAGATACACTAATAAAGCCTGTGTTTTGAAAGCGTGAGGTTACAACAACTAGGTACACCTTAATCAATTCAAATGTAATGCCAAAAATAAAGAGGTTCAAACGAAGGACGTATCGTTCTGAGTGTACGCTATAAGAGTTCCTCCGAGTTCGTTTGGATGCAGGTAGTCGTGTTTCTTTCGACAGATTCACTGCTACACGTTCCTGGTTGTCCGAATTTTTTGGCGTGTTGATCCGGTCTGTGTTCTGACGCGCGCGTGATGCGTGTGTTAGCGGTTGATTGTGTTCTGTCCTTATATATATGTCATGTGGGTGGAACGTGAAAACAACATTGTGAAATCACCTGGCGTCCTTCAAAGGTCATTGTAAGATCCGGACGGTTAAGGATCTCACAGGACGATTGCGACTATTAGATTATACGCAGTTCGTAGCCAGTAGTCAATAGGTGCAGACAGACGTGGGGCAGTAGATGATATATTGAAGACTGACGGGAACTGGTTCTACAGAAAAACGGATTAGTAAGCATCATGAATTAAGAAAACGTACAATCAACAATGACGCAATCTGCAGGAGCGGGAAGCAGTCGCTGTCACAGCACGGATTTCTATAGGGGCAACAAGAAGTAAGTACCAAACGATCTACAAACATACATATCGGGGCAGTCTGACAGTGTGAATTGGCCGTAACGGCGCAGGAGTCAGTACGTTCGGGATGTGAGGGGCTGTCTTTCAGTCGGCGTCGACGCAGCCGCTCGTGTCGCGCGACAGGTCGGATTACGCGGTTTCGTCCGTTTAAAACAAAGCTCAGTAAAGGCTATCTGGCAGGCGTGATACATGTGTAATACAAAATAACCAGCCGTCCTGGACGTCAGGTCGGTGAAGTTGGTAGCGCGCTTGCTTGCCGTCCGGAGGGTCCGGGTTCGATACCCGGTCAGCTCGATTTTCCGTCGGAGTGGGCGCTCAAAAAAAGGTGCAATCGAGGCGAACTTGCAGGCAATGACAGACGGGCAACAAATATTGACATCACCTACTGAGGGATAAGCAGATCTTAAGTGGGAACAAAGCCGGGGGAAAACGAGCAGCAAGAAAACGAAACGGTATCATAACAAACATGTGTAGTCATGTTACTCACGAGTAGTCAGAAAACAAGGAAAGTTACCCTTGTTCACCGCTGATTCACAGGGGGAGTCAACAGTCATGAAACGGTAGTTGACGTGTCATATTCATGTCATGGCGTTGAATCGTGTTTGTGAAACAGACAAAATAGAATGGGGGCAGTAGGTGCTGGTTTGAAACTAATTAGAGGAATAATTAAGCAGGAGGGTACCCGTTGCAAGCAGTCCCCATTTAGGGGGGAATCATATAGGCACTGTCATCAGTCAAGATTGCAGACAAGTCACGTTTTGTCTCGTGATGCACGTTGTGGGATGCGGAACAAAACAAAGCACGAGGGAGATAATGGATGCGGAGGTACTAATCAGATTAGGCAACTGCTACAAGCAATCCATATTCAAGCTTTAAGAGGCACCACCAAATAGCGATTGGATCAGTTTTGTTGGCGTGCTTTTCCTGGAGAATCACCAGCCTGCTCTTTCATGCGTCTCTCCATCAGAGACCCCGCGGCGGTCTTGACTGCTACATCAGGGATATGAATGATCTTTTTTGCTGTCAGCGCCAGGTACTCATTCAAGGAAGCCAGGCCACTTTGTTCCTTGTGTTTGTGCCTCGAGAGCTTTAAAGAGACGCGCCAATTTTGCGTCGAGTATCTCGATTGAAACACAACATTCGCATTGGTCTCAGATTCAGCAGTGGGGTCTTGGTTCCGCATTTTGTGGGTCTTTTTTTAGTTACGGGTTGCATAAAACCCTCAGAGTATGGGCAGCCAGCGCACGCAAATGGATCAGGAGAGTTGAATGGCTGGCTTGGCTGGCCGTCCTGTGAAACCGTACATTTATAGTGCTGGCAGGATTTTTAATCATGGCACCGCATTCCACGTAATTTATTTGAGGGGCACATATTTCTCCCATGCCTGTCGTATTGCACCGATGAATGTTGAGAACTCCCCCTATCGGTCTGGCCTATGTATGAGACGGCGCTCAGTATTCGCACAATGGAATTGAATTTTCGAAAGCTGTGACGTGTCCCTGACGTACCGAAGCAATCGGCCAATTGAGTAAAGAGCACCAATCGAAACTTTTCAGCAATGCCGGGAATTTTTCCACCAGACTTTCCCGCCAGAGGTATGACTGCTTCAGTGGAAGATGGAATTTGCTGATCTGCGAAAAAAAGTAGATTAGGTTGGTTTTTAGTTTGAGAACATACGTAATAAACCGCAACATTTTGCGCGAAATTTTTTATTCCGTACTGAAAGGTTTTTACAGTCGAGATAAGGTGCACTGAGGGAAATGAACGCGAAATGACAGGGATTTCCTGACAGAGTTCATGTTAAAGTGCAATATCCTACAAAATGACACGTTTTAACTCAATAAGCAGGTTAAACAGTTGGGTAATTTTTCCACTGCTTTGAACCAGCTGGAAACGGAGCCCATTTCAAAAGTACCGCGCTCATTGTGGGTTTCGGCGGAGTCTCTGCAAGGGTATCGTAACCTCCATATGCAAGATGATTCAGTAAGCTGAACCTAACTAATTGTTTAGTTTAGTGGACAGCATGCCCCCGTGTTTTTTCTTTTAATGCTCACGCGACCTTGACGGTCATTCTCCCGCGTTCTAGATTCTGTGTGGCGTGCAGGCATGCTTCGTGGTTTATCGTCTTTCCGTCTTCCGTTGGTTCGGTGTGTACGTGTGGCACCACTAAGGGGTCTCGCAAAGGATGTCAAGTTTGGAGCGGATGCTCGGGCTGCCATGCTAGTTGGCGTTGATATTCTTGCGGACGCTGTTGCGGTTACGATGGGACCGAAGGGCCGAAATGTTATCTTAGAGAGCTCGTGGAAATCTCCAAAGATAACAAAAGACGGTGTCACCGTCGCGAAGGGAATTGAGCTGAAAGACAGGTTTCAGAATATTGGCGCCAAATTGGTTCAGGATGTTGCTAACAACACAAATGAAGAAGCCGGTGACGGCACTACCACTGCTACCGTATTGGCTCGGGCGATCGCTAAGGAAGGATTCGAGAAGATAAGCAAAGGAACTAACCCGATCGAGTTTCGCAGAGGCGTGATGGCCGCTGTTGACGCTGCGGTCGCTGAGCTGAAACGTCTCTCGAAGCCCATTTCGACCCCCGAAGAGGTAGCCCAAGTGGCGACTATTTCTGCGAACGGTGATAGCAGCATTGGAGAGCTCATTTCTACTGCAATGAAGCGTGTCGGAACAGATGGCACCATAACGGTGAAGGTAAGGTTGCTCTTTCTTCGTACTTTTATTATTTAGGATGGCAAAACACTGAGTGACGAGCTGGAGTTCATCGAAGGTATGAAATTTGACCGGGGTTACATTTCTCCCTACTTCATAAACACGGAAAAGGGCGCGCGCTGCGAGTTCCAGGATGCATATGTTCTGTTCTCTGAGAAGAAGATCAACAGCATACAGTCCCTCCTACCTGCCTTAGAACTCTGCCATCAGCAGAAGAAGCCTCTCGTCATAGTAGCGGAGGATGTCGAAGGAGAGGCTCTGACTGCGCTAGTGTTGAATCGACTCAAACTGGGACTCCAGGTTTGTGCTGTAAAAGCCCCAGGTTTTGGAGACAACCGAAAAAATACCCTGAGGGACATGGCAATAGCCACGGGTGGTGTGGTAAGTTCAAGCTTTCACTTTATTCATTTGAGGCGAGATGGCCGAAGTGGTTAGAGCGCGAATTTACTGACCGGAAGGTTCGTGGTTCGAACCCGATCTCTGCCTCTTGACTTCCCCTGTCTAGGCTTTTGAAACCTGGCAGTATCCCAGCCCTCGTACAACCTTGAGGTGGCATGGCAGTTAGGCATCAAAAGGATGCTACAGCTGAACGATTTGAACGATTTTTGTTCATTTGGAAGAAGCGTCTGGTGTGATTACTCCTAATTCTTTCAGATAGCAGTCAGGTTTCGTGCTTAGGACAATAGACGGCGAAAATGAAGAGCATGGTAGTGAGTTCCTTATTGTAAATGAAAACCAGGGTTGGTAATGAGTTGGGATACAGGTAGTTCAAGTGATTTTTTTGCTTGCTGCTGCTGATCTGAGCTTGGCAGACGATTTGCAATACCATTCGACGAGACAGTGATGGTATCTCATTCGTTGACACCTTTCGCAAATCATTTGCCGAACTCGGCGAACAAAACAGTCACTTGGTCAACAGCAATAAACCACTGTTACAGTGTGCATGGGAAAGTCCAAGTCATGTGGATTTGCAATATAGCCTTGTTTAGCCGTCTTGTGAATTTTTAAAAAAGGTCTAAATGGAGTTTGCATATTACGAACTTTGAACCTTACCAATTCTGGGAACTTAAGTTGAGAGACCACAGCGTAAGTCCAGGGCAATGTCGCCTTTGCACCTAAAATCTAATGAGTCCGGGGATATCCCTCGGGGTTTTCACGGACGATAAGGTGTCCGCAGATGTGCACGGGAATGTTCGAAGCAGGTGACTGAAAATTGAACAGTCTTCTATGTTGTGCTGGTCAGGTGTGGACGGAGTCAATTGAAATGTGTAGCTCACATCAGTCGAGCATTCATCGTAACGTTTCGAAATTCAGATCTCACCGCAGGAGTGTACGGGGAAAGGCCTTTTCGGCTTAATGTTAATCCCTTCCCTGTCCTACACAGTCCCTCCTATCTGAACTACCAGTGGTTAGGGACAAACATAGTTTCTTGCTTCTATGAACCCCTGCAGTGGGAATTTCAACTGGAAGCTGAAAGTGCCGCCTGATTCGGGTGTCAAAAACGGATTTTGGATTTTAGGGCTGATGCGCGTAGTCATCGTAATAGAATGTCAGCTAAGATTTACTCGAATCACAGTATCAATGTCCAGTTTGAGGGTATACGTCTAAATACATAGGCACCGTACTCGGAGGTGTAGCCACCCGGCATTGCCATGACCAACCAGGTTAACACTGTCGCGAGCCACTTGAGAACCACTTCAGATATAAGAATATTAATAAGATAATCGTTCAGCTATAGCACCCTTTCGGTGTCTATTTGCCATGCCACCCGAAGGAAGCATGAGAACTGGGATATTGCCAGATTGCCCAAGCCTAGATAGAGGATGTCTGAAGTGGCGAACCCGGCACTTTCAGGAATCTCAAAGCTAGAGTATTTTAAGCAATCTAAGTCAGTGGTCGGTCACCACAACGCCGTAAATGAACCACTCGGTTTTCACCTCAGAGTAATCTTGGTCGTCATTTATCCCTAACATTTATTGCACATACACTTAGGTCTTCGGAGACGAAGCGGACATGTACAAGATCGAAGACGTACAGCAGCATGACCTAGGACGAGTGGCGGAGGCCGTTATTACAAAGGACGATTGCCTACTCATGAGGGGTCGTGGTGCTAAAGCAGAAGTGGACAAACGCATCGCACAGATCAAAAGTGAAATGGAAGCATCGAACAGTGACTACGAGAAGGAGAAGATGCAGGAGCGCCTCGCAAAGCTCTCAAACGGTGTTGCCGTCATAAAGGTTGGTGGGAGCAGCGAAGTCGAGGTCAGTGAGAAGAAAGATCGATACACCGACGCCCTAAATGCAACCCGGGCTGCGGTAGAAGAAGGCATTGTCCCTGGCGGTGGTGTGGCTCTTCTTCGGTGTATACCTTGTCTCAAAAATGTCGTCTGCAAAAATGAAGACCAGAGGATCGGTAAGTGACTGAGTTAGCCACGTGCTTCCGTTAGGTTTGATTTATCGTTCTTTTTCTAGGCCTACGGTGACAGTCGAAATGAAAGAACCCAGTTGCTTACCTTCCGTTTTGAGCAAAATTAGTTACTCTGAGCAGTGGAGATTAGCTTTTCCTGTGTTGCCTGTTTGGTGGTCCATCTGCTAGATAGAAACGGTCACAGTTAAGACCTGGCACAAAGGCAGGGGGCATGCTCGACAAGCTCCATCACACTGTCTGCCGGTTACTGCTACTGTGCACCACTGTCCTCACAAAGTGTCAAACCACAGCGCAATTGCTCTGCCACTTTTGTTTCGCACACCGTCCTTCGACTCATTAATGCCCGTTACTCGAGCACAGCACTTGCTGGGATTGGCTTCCTTTTTTGTCTTTCATGGTTTCGAATAGCTGTTGGTTTGAAATATACATATCCACTGCAAGGATTCCGCTCTGGTCACCGTGTTCCATTCTGGTTTATGACCATTATGGGTCGAAGATGACCTAAACCAAAGGCGTTCCCTGGTTAGATTCCGCCAACATTTAGAGTAATTGTTGATTGTGGTTTGCTCATGACTTGGGTTACTGAGGTCGTTGTTGACAGACAAATCGCATAGACCGAGGTTATAATGAAGCATCCATTGGCGACTACAAGTGGGGGATTCCGGAACGCATGACAAGCAAAGAACGGTTGTTACAGTATGAAGGTTGGCGGGAGTAGCGAGGTGTCACTGGGGCGATTTTCAGCTGTGGTAGTAGTGGTCCGTACTGAAATTTATCTTGGTCACTGTGTTTCACTCTGGTTTGTTACCATTGTGAGTCGAAGGTGACCGAAACTGAAGGCGTTCCGTAGTTAGATTGTGCCAACATTTCGATAATTTGTCTTGCATACACCGTTGATGTTCTCAGTGTTCTACTTTTTCCGCATGTTTGTGCTAATCAGCGTGATAACTGTAGCTGTTGCTTTCGACAACAAAATCTGTCCCGGTCTAGCTACTTCCGCCCTGGTTTCTGCATATTCAGGCGTTCAGCTTGTGCATCATACACCTCTTTGTGCTTATTGATTTCTACATGCATTTTGGTTTGCCTTACCCTAACCTTACCGAGTTCCATCTCTTAACTTCGTTCGCTGTCGAGTACTCAGCACCCACTCGAAAATGACCGAAACAGGTGGTGTATCTCTTTGGGGCGTCGCTGCTGGGCTTGCACATTTGCAAAGGATAAGATGGCATTCAAAATCCTCTGGTTGTCTGTTTGAGTAGCGTTGTCTAATGCACACACGACCCATTGGCAGCGTCACTAGCACATAGTATTCACAATATGTCCGGTTTACTCTGCCGACTGTGTTTTATTGCTTCTAGGTGTCCAGATAGTGCTGCGTGCGCTCTCCACACCTGCATACACGATAGCTGCCAACGCCGGTGTGAATGGATCAGTTGTGGTGGAGAAAATCCTCAGTTTGGAGAAGAACATGGGCTATGACGCTCTGAATGACACTTATGTGGATATGCTCGAAGCCGGCATAATTGACCCAACTAAGGTGAGTTCTCATGTCCGGCAAATAGTCATATACTTGCCAATTAGGGTACTTTATAAAACGCTACTACGAGTTTTATTTCAGTTGTAGGTTCTCGCCTGTGTCTTTACTTCCAGAATCTATAATCGTTTCTGCGCATCTCATTCATGCGAATTTTTCTTTCTTTGTCGTAAGAACCTCTCTTGTAGACGCCGCTGGTGTCGCATCCCTTCTGACGACGGCGGAAACGGTGGTCACGGAGCTACCGAAAGAGGAGCCACCCATGTCTGCTGGCATGGGAGCTGGTATGGGCGGAATGGGAGGTATGGGTATGATGTAACGCGAGCGCCGAGACCTTGAACAACACTTTAGTTCTACTTCATAGCGTTGATTTATACTTAAACAGTCCACTTGTCCAAAGGCCCAATTATTCCCTTGAATACAATCATCTGCATTTCGCGCGTCTTTCACTTCGTGGTGGGATTGTGGGTCTCCTTGGCGAAGGTGATGCCAGGCATCTTGATATTGATACTTTTGTTTGTGAGACTAGTGGAGACATTTGGCAACGTTCCAAACTGGCCGTTGTAAAGTCCACGACTCGTTAGATCACGGCTATGCAGGATTTGCCTTCGCAGACTTCGTCTTGCTGGTTTAGATAGCATGGTTCGAGTTCGGCGGCACGTTTGTCTACTACCTCAATCGGTTCATCGGCAAGCAATGAGGCTAGGGTTCGAGCCCACCCAACCTTGCAGTAGCACTTTGCAGGTGTGAAGCGCATGCCGAACCGCGAGGCAGAATTATCTAGATTATTTAATATTGTTTGCATTACCACGGGATCAGATCCCAGAAGAGCTGTCGTCTGCGTACTCGATATCTGTGAGCGGAGGTCCAGGGAGCACTTCGGTCCCACAGGCATTAGAGGCTGGTAGTGAGTCTTCCATGATTGTATCAATGACGAAGTTGAAGAGGAAAGGTGAAAAAGGACAGCCCTCGATGTGGTGGACTCAGAAGAGAGCTCCCCGTAGACCTTTACAAGGCCGCGGGAGTTGGCGTACAGTGCCTTAGTGAGGGTCGAGAATTTGCAGGGTACACCTTTGCTCCGCAGACGGATCCCAGCTTGGTTTTCACGGATCTGCCTCTCTGTGTCCAGTCAGCCTTCGGAGGATGAGGCCAGGGACCATCTTTTATGTCACAGCTAACAGACTGATGCCACTGTGGATTTCACATGGCGTCCGCGTGCCATTTTTGCGGACACTTTCTCTTCCTCCCATACAGCACCAATAAGCTTTGTCAGATAGGGCACCAGGGATTTCCCGCCTTTGAAGAGGGCTGGGTACAGACCGTCCGGTCCTGATGCCGTCCCTCCTTTCACTATGGGTATTTCGTACTTTATTTATTCCGACAGGCTATCAAGGTTTACCTTCAATTCGCCTCTGTATGCATTGTGTCCACAGGCTGTGTTGGAGGGAAACAGCTGAACTGTTCTTCGATGTTTTCGGCCCTTCTTTCCAGTAGACGTTCTTGCGAGTTAGTGAGCCATCCTTTTCACTTATCGTTCCGTTGACCGTTATTTTCCTAGGGCCAGCCGATCGTATCATTTGGTGTGGGATGCAGTGGTTTCCGTTAGTAAACACCCCCATCTCCCGAGCTTTCGGTGTCCACCAGAGCCCTCGGTCTTTCCTTAGACTTCACTATTTGGCGTTTGAGGGATTTGCGTGCGCCGTCGTACTTGTTTACTGCTGACATCCATCAGTAAGATCAGCTTCCTGAAAGTAACCACTGAATGCCCGGAATCTACCGAGACTCAGCTCCGCTAGATGTTGACCAGACAGACAACGCCCCATCAATATGCAGCACCTCAGTCTTGTATCAAACCTAGGCAGTGAGAATCAGCGTTGATCAAGGTCAGACAACGCCCCCGCAGTATGCGGCACGTCACAGCCTCGTACCAAAGCCAGACCGTGTGCGTCAGCACAGCGTCAGACAGTGTCCTTCCAATAAACAGCTTGAGGCCGTTGTGCTTTTCGCTCTTGCTTGTTCGGAATATAGCTGTTGTGTTCCCTTCTGTGAGTCTTTTCTTTCCGGCAACTAGGCACTGGAGCGGGTCAGCAGCAATACCACAGATTGGCGAATCAGCAGATATAACAGTGTCAATCATGGATAGCGATCTAGACGACATCCACTGGTCTTGTGGTCGAATCGGAGAAGTCGGACAGGTGGCACTGAACGCCGCCAACATAGCTCCTTTCACATTTTGCCATGCTTCCACATGCTCACTGCCAGTGCAGTATTGGTTTACTGCAGGGAGTTGCTGGGCTAGCTCAGATCGATACTGTTGAGCTATGGTAGTTCTTCGGAGCTAGTGGATTGGAATGCTTCTCGCTGACTTCGAGGGCCTGAAGGGAAACGAACTGTCGGGCGCGCACATACCATGGTGTGATTGGAATCAAGTGTGCCCCAGAAGGAACGTCAGTCTTGAATTGTAGCTCGCCACCGGTGGCTGATGGCTACGTGGTCCAACTGGGTCCACGGTTGATTTGCAGTTTGTGGCCGCCAGGTCACGCGATGCGAACGTTTATGTTGAAAGTTCGTACTTGCCAGAGGCAGTTCCTGATAAGTCCACAAGTGAAGCAATCGACCTCCGTTGGCTGTGCGGCGAGCATCTACTCTGAATCGGCCGCCCAAGTGTGATTCCAAGGAGCTCAGACGACCTACTTGGGCTTTCAGACCGCTTGCAAGGATCACAATGTGCTTTTTGCCTGACGAATGAGCCCGGATAGCTCTCGATAGAAAGTATCCTCAGCATCAGAAATGCAGTCCGTTGGGGCATAAGCCGACATTACAAACGGGTGCCGCTTTTTATTTCCAGAGGCACAGCTTGATTCAACTGGATAACCGGACGGCGCAAACGTGACTGTTCACTGGGATCCAATCGAACAAAGCGCGTTCAGCTCTCGAGCTGATTGCAAGTCCTACGCTATATATTCCATAAATCATCGCTTCTGGGTCACCGGACCTACAGAGGGAGAAATGTGAAAGATCTGAGTTAATCATTGGTGTTCTGAGATGCATAAGGGTGCGAGATGGCCCAAGTGGTTAGAGCGCGAATTTACTGCCCGGAAGGTCCGTGGTTCGAATCCGACCTCCGCCACTCGCTTCCCCTGTCTAGGCTTGGGCAACCTGGCAGTATCCCAGCCCTCGTGCTTCCTTCTGGGGGCATGGCAGCTAGGCACCGGAAGGGTGCTACAGCTGAACGCTTTCTTTCTTTTTCTGAGATGCATAACTACTCTTGGGTCTTGTTTCGAAGACAGCATTCATCGATTTTAAGGGAGTGTAAGGTCTCAGCAAGCGCTGTCTGTTTGCCAATTCGACATAGAGTACGGACGTTAAAAGCTCCTATATAGAGAGGATTTTCTGGATTTAGAAGGGTGTTCTTTTGTTTGTTGTTAGTTGACGGTGATGAGCATGAGGCCCTTCAGTCAGATAACTGACAGCCAAATGGCCCAGCGATGTTTGCTTGTGTGGTGGAGAGCGGTTGGGGAGGGACATCGGTGGACACCGAACTGCGCAGGCCCGGTTGCCCAGGCCGAGGAAAGAGGTTTGGTTGAGGTACTCCACCTCGAGCTTTTGACTCAATAGTCTGACCCACAAGACAGTGCGAAGACTTAGGGTTTTGTTCGGGGACCCTGCCCCTAGCCTCTAACTCAATAGTCTGATCCACGAGACGGCGGGCAGTAGGGTTTTCTTTGCGGGCCCTGCCCAGAGCCGATTACTCAATAATCTGACCTGTTCGGTTACAGGGGGTTGACCTAACCCGAGGGCGCAGGGAATGAGACATTACTGTCTCGTTCCTGATGTGGCTGCGCACAGCTGGTGCAGCACCGGACTCTAGTTTTAAAAGTATTTCGACGTATTGGATAATACATCGGAGGTCACGGTCGACTGTTGGGCGATTGGAGTGTGCGGTTTTTTGGGCCGACATTTTCTAACCCGTCCATCCTCAGGGGAAGGCAGCATCGCCGCATCCATGAATATGGACATGGGTGAAACACTGTCTTCACACTCCTGTCGCAGAGAACAGTACAACTTTGCCTCCAGACTGCCTCCTAGTACGGGGTATCGCTGCTCTTGGTTTGATCGCTCCCCTTTGGCCTTCATGGTCTGGTTGCACCCTGTGGAACAAAGCCAGTGTAGCCCACAGGATAATTGCAGCACTCTATCCCGACCCCATATGAAGGTGGCGGCTTTAGGTCAGGCATGTTCATTCAAGCTCACGTTTGCCGGAAGAAGACCGGGCATTTTCGTGAGACTGAACTTGCGTTTATCCTGTCATGTTTATCTTCGGTGGCTGTTTTAATCAATAGAGGCGTCCACTATGGTTAACTTGATTTGAAAAGGAAAAAGTATACTTCAAACGCCAAGCACCTTCGTTTACAAATTAACCTGGTGTTGATATGAGGCTGAACTTAATTCCTCGTTTATGATATCCCTCAACCGGATGTGCCACACAAAGGCCACCTCATATCTCAGTTGGCACAACAGTCGAGGTATCGCGGTATATTTTCTTGGCAACACGCTACTTGCTACGGACGTTGGCGAGCATTGCACGCCATCTTTGCCGCCAGTCTGCACCCTTTTTTTTTGTTCCAACACAAATGGTTGCTCACATCCTTTGTTTCCGAAAGTTCGCATAATTTCGGTAGGGGTGCCAGCCAATTAGCTACGGCTTCCTTTGGCATTTGACGTTTTCTTCGCTGAAAACACCCGAACTTATTTAAAAACTCCTCTGCTTGCTCGGGAATCTGGCCGCTTCACACGACAACTCCCGTTACTTTTTCTTGTATTGCAAGCACTGGATGAAGCGGTCCTTGCTTCATGGAGCATAATCTTTCCAAAAGACGTACGACTCCAAGGAGAATGGGTTTCAGTTGGCATGCGCAGTAATCAAGGGTCAGTTGTCAGTTATTCAAATGTCGGTCAGGTTACTACGCGGACAATCTAAATTCTTTTGTCTTTTGTTAGAAGTTGGGCGTGTACTAAATGCTCTTAGGACGAACAGATCGCGCTCTACTTCGAAGCATCATGTCTCCCGTAGGGAAGTTGGTTTTGGGATAAGGTGGTTGAAGTGTTCCCTCTTCGGAGGCAACTCTATATATAATAGGAGCCGGCAGTAGATCACTGGGCGGAATACCTCCATCAACAATTTAGGTGACCCTCTTGCTCTATGCGTTTGCGGGGCGAGGTGGCTCAGTGGTTAGGGCGCGAATTTACTGACCAGAAGGTCCGTAGTTCGAACCCGGTCGCTGCATTTCGACTTCCCCCGTCCAGGCTTGAGCAGCCTGGCAGCATCCCAGCCCTTGTGCTTCTCTCGGGTGGCGTGGCAGCTAGGCTCCGAGAGAGCATTACAACTGAACCATTTCTACGCGTTTGTGGTTTATCAGTTTGGATTCCCTCTTAGTTTGTGGTTCGCCAATATGCCTCAACCAGGAAAAACCATCCATTTGCTGAGCCAGAGAGACTTCTACAAGCGTCGTTCAACAGGGTTAATCAAAATGCCTTGTGACCTGACTAGTATCTGAACCGTTCTTGGACGGACAATATATTCCAGAGAGATTAGGTCAGCCATCGTACCCACCAAGCTGTCCGATACGACTAGAAGTAAAAACGTGGTGCGATGCCTTACCTGGACACGTGAGACGTGAATTCGAGGACATCATATGAGTAGAATGTGCTTCGGTTATTTTCAGAGTGCGAATTACTTGAGCACTTCTAAATGTAGTCGGCCTATAAGGCCTGTTTCCATCAACTCTACTGGTGACATTGATCTTGTTGCTGTAGCAACCTTTCTACGTGTATTAGAGGGCGAGATGGCCCAAGTGGTTAGATCGCGAATTTACTGACCGGAAGGTCCGTGGTTCGCATCCGACCTCTGCCACTCGACTTCCCCTGTCTAGGCCTGGGCAACCTGGCAGTATCCCAGCCCCCGTGCTTCCTCCTGGTGGCATGGCAGCTAGGCACCGAAAGGGTGTTACAGCTGAACGATATTATTATTATTATTATTATTA